TTAGCTAAAAGAAGGAAGCAACTCAAATTTCCAACAGTAAACAAATGATTAAACAAAATGTGGTATGATATATTTGCAATAGAATATTACCCAGCCTTAGAAAGAAAGGAAATTCTGACATCTGCCACAGAATGGCTGGCCCCAGAAGATGTTATGCCACGTGGAATGAGGCTGATTCCAAAAGACAAATATATGATTCTGCTTACGAGATCCCTAGAGTACTCAGGTGTGAAGCACCTGGACTGGTCATGAAGAGCAGGTAGTGCTTCTCCAGGGAGAGAAAGGGAAAAGAGTTAGTGAGGGTAAGACTCAGTAGAGGTGAGGGAGTGGCATCCGCCAGACACAGACACCTCTAGTAAGTGAAAGCTGCTTCTTAAAGCAGAGTGAGGTGTGGAGAAATGGAAATTGCCTTAGAGAACAGCTGGGGCTGGGAGACTGGCAGGGAGGAAGGGTTAGTGCTGCTGGCCAACGGGCATCACACAAGTGTAACCAGATCAGACACTCCAAGAACGGTGGGTGGAAAGCACAGGGGAGGACAAAGTACCTGGACACAAGCAAGCTTTAGAGATCTCAGCTGTAATGAGAGGGCCAGATGTGAGCAATGTTAAGGAAGGAAGTTAGACGTGCGTCCTGCATTTTCATGTCCTATAAGTGGATGAGGACATTTAAACTGCCAGGTACATACATTATATAGCTGTATGTATAAGACTTCCATTCTGGCAGAAAACCTGAAAATCAATATACTTTTTCTTTTTAAAATGTGAAGTGAGAGAGCAGACTCAACAATGTTGGCCCCCATTGTCCTTCAGAACATTGTCTTCCAGCTTTACTCCAGGAATGAATTTCCTTCTGATTCTACGGTTTGCCTTCAGGCAGGAAAACAAAGTCCCTTTCCAGGCAGATCAGATTCCACCATGAAAGGTTTGCTCCCCAAGACCAAATCACAGGAGCTCCCAAAAGAGTCCTCCCCGTGGTCAGGTTGAATAGGATGGGTAAACACAGCTGAGCCACGCCCCAGAGCAAGGAATGGGGGTGTAGGAGGAGCTGCTATGAGAAGTGACAGTGACAGCCTGCAGGACAAACTTTTCATCTGTCCTGGGGTATGCTGGGAGATCCTGGCTATGAGCTTATGGACAAGACCCTGGGGCCGGACCATTAAAGACATCGAGAAGATGAGAAACCCAGTGGGAGGTAAGTGGAAACCACTATATCCACCTTGGCACACTTTTTTTTGAGTGCTCTAGAATGAAGCCAGGAGAGCCAGTTCCAAAAGTATATTCTCCAGGTTGGGAGCAGGTGCATCACTACAAGGCTATGCATATGCAGAACACGGCAAGTTTCAGTTCCCTAACAGATACTATAAAAAGCTGTGAATTTGATAAATACTCTATAACTCACCATTGAAAATTCCTTTAGTATCAATCTTTCATGCCCATTGCACACAGTCACGCTCTCATATACTTTAATACAACTCCACTTCTGTATTGTATAAGTTAATAGACTTTTTTCTTTTTACTTTTTTCATTTCGTATCTGCTTAAGACAGTGTCATGTTTCTCAGGCTGGCCTCAGACTCACTATGTAGCAAAGGATGACACTGAACTCTTGATCCTCTTGTCTCTAGTGCTGAGATTATCCAAGCGTGCTACCATTCCTCCCTTGCTAAGTTTCTTGACTCAGAGTTTGTAAGGTACAAGATCAAGCCCTTTGCCTCTACAGCTTCCTAGGACTACTGCAGTCTCTCCTCCTTGGCCTCTCTCCAGATTGTTTTAAAAGCCTAACATCAGAAAAGTAATGTTGAAGCAAACTAAGTCCTTTATGATCAGCATGAGTTCACTGTATAAACCAGGTGATTGCTAAAGGCACCAATCCCCTAAACGCCCACTGAGTGTCTCTGATCTGCCTGAGAATCTGAAAAGCATTTGAACATAAAAGAATGCCAAGTGAAAAATCCAGGGTCTCAACCAGCTCCACATCCTGGTCATCAGTCAGCACAAGAATGATGTTGGGTCGGATGTTCTTTCGTTCCTGCTGGATCCTTCCTCTGAACCTCGGGGACCGCACAGTCGAACACAGGTACCCGAGCAATTCTGTGCCCAGGATAGCCAGCAGCAGAGCCCAGCAAGGAGACTTCATTGTATGTGGTCCAATGCTGCAAAGCTGACAAAGTGTTTCCCTCTTCTGAGTGCTGGTGGTTGTGGGGTGGGAGGTGTCAGGAGTAAAATGGAAAGGGAGAAATGAAAATGAATTCCAAACCCCAAATACAGTTGCAGAAAAAGAACTACGAATAAGCCAGAGCTGACACACGGCTGGCAGTACGGGTCTGTGCATGAATGAGAAGCAGCAAACCCTCACTAGCTTTGGTAGGTTTTTAAGTAGGTTATTTTGCAAAATCACTTATGTCCTTTATTCTCGTTCCAACTTTCCCTATTTCCATTCATCGTCAAAGTGTAATTTTCAGCACAGCTCAAACGTGTAAAAGCTTCCTGACAAGAGCTAATACCTTGAACTAGGGATCCTGGTCGAATAATTAATTTCTAGACTCCAAGGTTTTCACAGCATCTGCAGATGGTACCCTAGAAAGGGGAAGGGGAAAAATACAAAGCCAACATCAGTCAAGGGTTTCAAAACAGGCTTGTGATCTGAAGTAGTCTTGAAGCAGCACACTGTATGTGTAGATAACATATCTTTCCTTCTCTTCTTAAAGAAGAGCTAATAAATGGGTCATAATATTTCTATTTCCTAAAGAGCTGCATTGTACAGTGGTCAGTGCATCCTGTCTGCTCACACCATAACGGTTCTTTAAACATCCCCGACTAAGCGACTTGCGTATGGGGAGCAGGGTGTCCTGGGGGAGAGCATCAACTCACCTGCATCCTTTACTATCTACCAAGCAGAATGAAATGCAAAGCTGTCATTTGTTGTCTCCATTATGTCACTCGTTACCCAAGAGAGTCATCTCTGCTGACAAAGACTTCTTAATGAGTTAGTGGCAGAAAGAACCAACTTTTCCAGCCCTACAGATGCTCCAAACTGTCCCCATCAATCACAGGAGGCAAGGTGTTTCCTTTCCTGCTGGTGCGGCTGGTCCTTCCGTTCAGTCCCTGGTTCTCACACTGGTGCCTAAGAGGACAGAGTCCCCTCCAGCTGTCAGTCATCAGCCTGACGGTGGACAGGACACGGTTCGGAGTGGCTAGCACAGCGTTTGCTCTGCTGCAGCGGATCTTAGCCTGAAAAGTGAGGTGCCTGATTGGCTCAGAGGCTGAAGGTGAGGGGCTGCCTTTAGAAAATAAATGAAATCCGGAGGGCAGTGCAGCAGAAATCTTTACAAAGCTGCATGGAAGGTGACTTCCGAAAGGGTTGGGCAAATGTCCTTCTGTTTTGGAACACTAATCTGTAGAAAGCTTGTCTCTCAGACTTCTTAGAGAAAGCAAAGGGCTCATTTTTTTTTTTTAAATCCTCCTCTATTTTGCTTTGAGAGAAGCTTTTCATGAAGTTAATTAGATAGCAGCCCACTTCATCAGTCGCTCAGTCCCCACACCTGAAGATCTGTATTTTGATGTGCAACAGTAAACTGGCAGATGATAAATTTATAAGCAGGAGTGGGTGGGGGAAAATGTCACAGAACAAGAGAGGGGTTCCCTCTCTCAGGCTGGCGTTCTCAGCTCTGGAAGGGAGCGGGGGCAACAAAGGAAAAAACAATATAGACTGTTCTTTAGGTACACACATGTAGATGCTCCTATTATTTTAAAACTTTATGAGCTGTTTGGTACACAGTTCTAATGTTTCTTACTCTGCAGCCTATAATTACACTTCTGTGGAGCGTGTGTATGAGCGAGAGAGAGAGAGAGAGAGAGAGAGAGAGAGAGAGAGAGAGAAAGAGAGAGAGAGAGGGAGAGATTGGCTCAATACTCAGCAAGGAGTACGTTTCTCAATAGAAACCTGATGTCTGCTGTAAGGCACTCCTAGGTAGCTAAATTATCTGCAGAGCAACAAACAAGGCAATTCTAACTGATCTTGTGGCCCCAGGAAGTCAATATGTATAATTCTGTGGGGTTTTTTTTTTTCCCTCCTTAACTCAGGGTTATTCTGGCAATTGCCATGCATGCTGACAACCCAAAACCTGCAATTATTTTGCACTGACTGTCTGGTTTCTGTGCACTTGTTTTAAATCACAAGAAACCTGATCCAGGCACGAAAGAGAGGAAATGCAAAGAAATCAGATGGCCAACGGGAGCCTTTTGCCACCAAGTGTGGGTCAGGCTTAGCAGCTCAATGCAGACCTTTCTTAGAGGGCTGGTTTTGTAAGGAACAAAACTGTTCAGCTCTCAAAGGCTGCAAGGGCGAATGAAGAGAGTGGGGGAGGGCAGTTTTCTTGCTTTAGTTAGAGTGACCCACACTCTGCTGATAGTGGTGAGGGCAGAGAGCACACAATAACAGTCAGTTTAAATAATTGCCACATGAAACGGAAGACTCTTGAAATTAAGATGTTGATAACATTCCCTGGAACCCAATCAACATGGCTAGCTATTATTCTTTATCTTATTTCCTTTACCTCTTCCTTTAGGAAAAAGAAAATTAGCCATAACAGTACCTAATATAAACATCAGAAACCATTTCCTAATGAAGGGGAAACAAAGCAGATGTAGCGTCCACCTACTCAGTGCCCTTCACCGAGCTAAAGGTGCACAAGAGACCTACAAGCTTTCTGCCACAGGTATCTTATTTTACTTAAAAATTTTATTTTGGGGCCATGGAGATGGCTCAGTGGGTAATGGCACTTGCTGTCAACTCTGACAACCTGAGTTTGACCCTTGGAACCCACATGGTTGAAGGAGAGAAGTGACTCCCACAAGTTGTCCTCTGACCTCCATATTTGCGCCAAGGCATATACTCTCCCCAAATAAGTAAATATAAACTATGCTTTCTTATCTTTGACTACTAGTTTTATATATATGATATATATATATATATATCATATATATGAT